CTTGTCAGGTGTCCCACATCCGCCATCTAGCCGTCCGGCCGTCTGACGTCCGCCCACTGCTCGCGGCGCATGCGGATGGTCGTTCTTCCCTCGTGTGGTCTTGAACGTCGGCGAGCAGAGCCCGAGCTTCAGCCAGGGAGCGTCAGGGATGACCGACTTCAAGTCCTCCTCACTGATCATTCCGTCGCCGTCAAAGTCAAAGAGCCTAGCGAGTTAGAGAAGCCACATTGGTGGTCACTCAGCTTGGGATAGAGAAACCAAACAGAACATCCTTCAACAAACTTAAGCCCCTTAAACCCCATGAGGCTCTATATGAGGGCCGCTGGCCATCATGCGCTTGAAGTCCCAAAACCGCCCCACACACACACACACACACAAAAACCTCGGTCATCAGATCCAACTGCCTGAAGGTGGCATTGATGTGGAACGGGTCCGTGTACCATTCCTCACCGGCGCTTCCCCACGTTGCGGGCCGCCGGACGGACGCCGTGCCGCGACCGTTTCACGAGGAGAGACCCTCTCATCGGTCCAGGAAAGCGGGGTCGCACCGGAATCGCACCGGTCGGGTTGACGAGGGGCGCCGGAACCACTAGAGTCACTAGAGGTTTCAGGTATCCGGAAGCTAGTCACTAGACTCGCTAGAGGCCTAGTCACTAGAGTCACTAGAGTCATAGCTTCTGGAAGGCCTCCATTCACCTGAAGGTGGGAACGAACACAAGTCTCCATAGAATGGTGCTGGAAGGGCCGGAGGGGAGGTGACTAAATGGCTGGTGGGCATGCGGCTGACTTAGTTTGGGGGAGCAGTTTCTGCCACCTGCAACTTGGGTGATGGTATGGACTAATTACTGAGTGGGGGGGTCAAAGCCATGCACAGAGATGGCTTTCATAAACTCCAATGAACTTATTTTGAGGTGAGTATGCATTCCTGGTGTAGGAAATATATAAATATATAAAAACGTCAGAATCTCAGCTCACTACAGGGAGATTAAACATAAAGGCATCCTTGGCATCCAATGCTCAGAAGGGCAAGGGCTATTCCAGTCAGTTCACCATCCCTGTTCACATCCGAAACGAATAGCGCAGGTTCTTTCAGTTCAGCTGGAACTTGGGGAAAATCCCCACCCATCGACATGCCTTCCGGTGGGTTTGACCCAGTCCTCACCCAGGTCCTCATCCTACCACTTCACCGATCCGAACCACCCCCCGGCCGGGTCGGCGGTCGCCGCGAGCCATTCGGAGTAGCTGATGTGCCTCGGTGGCGGTGAAGGAAACATCATCCTACGTGCGGGATGCGCGTGCGAATGAGGAATACGATCGATCTAGTTATATACCAGGACCTTCCAACAGGTGTCTATATTTGGGGCAGCCAACTAGCAGGGAAGAGGTAGGAGCAGGGAAGAGGTAGGTTTCAGTGGTAGTTGGGAGCAAGTTGGCCACAAGGCTCCTCTCGGAGAATAGTACTATTATTGTTTAATACAAACCCGCTCTTGAAATGCAGTTGGAAATTAGATCTGCTTCGTTCGTTTGGATGTTCTTTGTAGAGAATTATTTTAGAAATATCAGCCTTATGCAGTCAGTTAGTGTATTTTGCTTATCTTGCCTTTAGTGGGTTGACTAGAAGGAGGGCTTAGAAAATTATTAAGGGATGCATTAACTGAGTCTGTCGAAGTTTAATCACTAGTCTGTCTTTTAAAATGGCACAACCGGTCAAAATCAACAAGTCAACAAATAATCAACAATGAAGTGCGTCTTGAGGAGCTCCATCTCGCCGTTCTCACTGTCTTTCAATCTTCGGACCTCCCTTGTCCAGTGCCAAGGATCGCCATCACTGAATCCGCTGACTCTTGGATTCAGCGCCGTAGAAAGCTCCCAACCAACGACGTTCTGTGGCTCCAGTGCTCTTTGCAAGACAACTGAGCGTCGTTGTCCAGTCAGCTTGACTGCGTGCAGTGTGGAGCATCTCTGGCTTTGGCAAGCCTTGCGGCAGTGGTGTTTGTCGTCATCACTGCCTTCTTTGTCAACGTCGTCGCTGTAGTGACAGTCACCGAAGGGGATGTTCTTACGTCCACACCTTGGGCATGTGGCGACGCGTTGAAGCAGTCAAGGCAGATCGAGCAGTGCGTACGCAGACAGCACTGCTCAGGCGGACACGCAACAAGCTTCCAATAGTTTCCACGTCTGTCTCGACCGGCTCCAGGCAGCTGACCTCATGGAGCGAGACATTCCTCAAGTCTGCGTGGAGTGATTGTAGGGCTTTGGAGATCCCTGTCCGCGTGTGGGTTTTGATCCAGCAGCCCTTCGTTTTGCATCATCAATGCCATGTCCTCCTTCTTGGAAAGCCATTAATGAAGGGCTGACACTTCCAGAGTCTGCATTGGCTCCAGCCAATTGGCCTTTCGATTGGCTCCAGAAATAGAGTCCAGAAAGAGGCCTCGAAACTCAAACTTCTCAAAGCTCAAACTCAAACCCCTCCAACGTTTTGGAATCTTCTCAGACTTTTCTTCAATAAATTCAAACATACATCTCCAGATTGAAAGCAGTCAAAGCAGCAACAAAATGATAAAAGGTGCTGCAAAGTAAACATTTTGCAGAAATACAGAACATCATTGAAACCCAAAAACAAGAAAAAGGCAGGCAAGCACCAATTACTTTACTTCGAGCGATCCCCACCATGACATTTCAATCATTTGTCTTGATGCCATAGTGAGGAGCATGTTGCCATGGTCGTGAGTATTGTAGTTCTCGATTTTGGTTGTGGGTACTCGGGTTGTGTGCTGTGGTTGTGTGTTGTGCTTGTGGTTGTGTGTTTGTGTGTGTGTGTGTTTGTGATTGTGTGTTAGTGATTCGTGATTGTGTTTGTGGTTGCGTGTTTGTGGTTGTGTTTTTGTGGTTGTGTTCGTGGTTGTGTTCGTGGTTGTGTGTTTGTGGTTGTGTGTGTGTGATTGTGTCTGTGGTTGCGTGTGTGATTGTGTCTGTGGTTGTGTGTTTGTGATTGTGTGTGGCTGTGTGCTTGTGATTGTGTTTGTGATTGTGTGTTTGTAGTTGTGGTTGTGGTTGCTTGTTTGTGGTTGTGTTTGTGGTTGTGTTGTGCGCCGTGGTCGAGGTCCGGCAGGGAACTCTGGGCGTGGAAGGTCGTGGTTGAGGTCCGGCAGGGAACACTGGGCGCGGATGGTCATGGTTGAAGTCCGGCAGGGAACACTGGGCGTGGAAGGTCGTGGTTGAGGTCCGGCAGGGAACACTGGGCGTGGATGGTCGTGGTTGCAGTCCGGGAGAGAACACTGGCGATGGATGGTCGTGGTTGAGGTCCGGCAGGGAACACTGGGCGTGGATGGTCGTGGTTGATGTCCGGCAGGGAACACTGGGCGTGGATGGTCGTGGTTGAGGTCCGGCGAGGAGGAGAGAAGAAGAAGGAGGAGGAGGAGAAGGGGAAGTCAGCTAACATAAAATCTAACAACCCTCACCTGACAGGTGGGGGAACTATAAGTAAGCGCAGGCCAAAATGGCAAGGTACGCTAAGGACCGACCGATAGTGGCGCAAACCAACCGCAGACCAAGCGCAGACCAAGTGCAGACCAATGGCAATCTACAAAGAGGGTAGTGGCGCAGACCAACCGCAGACCAATGGTGCTACGGGGCTATTGGTTTGGTAAGCGTTCAGAAACTTTTTTCGTCACGGGGTCCAGTCTTCAAGCCGCCAGAGCAGCCACAAAACAGTAAGAGGTGCTGCAAAGCATATGTTTGACAGAAAACAAATAAAAACTAAATCTGTGCCAAAAAGGCAGGCTAGAGGCAGGCTAGAACAAACCAAGCGCAGCAAAGGATTGGGCGACCTCGTGGTGCCCATGCCCTCTGCGGCATGGGTCCGACCGGCGTGTGAGGCAGCTGAATTGGCCGCCTGTACGTCCTCCGCCCCAAGTCCAACTCGGGGTCGAAGGCAAAAAGGTCTCCGTCGCACGTCGTCCAGGCCATGCACTGTCCGACGCGCAGAGAGATGTCCGACCCAAACAAAAAATCTGTGAAGTGGTGAATAAATAGATTGGGTGACATTAATTAACTCTTTGACTAAGTAAACACGCGGGGGCTCACCCGGAAACTATAAACAAAATAACATGTGAAAATTATGTGTGAAGCTGTGACTGTTGGAATATGGAGTTGTGGTTGCAGCCATGCCCAGGGAATTGGAATTAAGAACATGCATGGCTGTCTTTATCCTTTTCCTGAGCCAACAAATAAGGATATTTTCTTTAAAGTAGGTGTGCACTTTTTGAAAGTAGGTGTTGGGGTATAAGATTGCGCAAGCTCCAGTTACCAAGGGCTAGGCACATTCAACTCATAGTCAGTGCCCATTGCTGGCTGAGCCAGGAACAATTGACTGTTCTTTTTTGCGCGATAGGATGGCCTGAGCTAATATTATATATAGTTCCAATTATCTTGTACATAAATATATATAATATATATATTTATTACTATTTACTTATTTATCCACACCGTTTTGAAAAAATATCTATGATGGTTTGAAGATGTTTGTTTCCAGCTTTGAAACACTGCGTTTACTCATGCAACCCACAGTGAAATTGGTTATTATTAAAGCGCAGTCTGCGCTGAGCGCGCATCGCGCTGATCAAATACTCCATCATATTGTTTGTCATTTCACTGTGAGCGGGTAGTCAGCGTTTATGGTGGCGTTTGTCAAGTGGAGTGCTCATGCGCACAGGCGGCAGTAAAGTGATGCAGATTGTAAGCCGTTTTCTCACTGGACGCTGCTCATCTCTAGTCGTGTCAAAACCAGATTCAGACTCAATGCTCGCATTGAATCTTCAGACTGCGAAGTCTTGTTCGCAAGACTTGGGAATTCCTCCTCATGAAGTGCCCCGGGCTCGGCAAATTGAAAGCAACAGTGCTTCACCAAAATAACTGTTGGGAAAACCTATGCGTGACTGACTTTCTTTAAACAGCGCCAAACCCACCCTACGTGGAAAACACCAAAAGCGTGTTCATGGTCAGGTCCTGACCTTGCAGCACTGACCGGCAGGAAGCACCAACTGCTTCATGCAATGGAGCATGACTTTCACTGGCTGCAACCCTTTCACCGTCCATTTCACGTGCCAAACCAGGCTCATGGAGTGCATGCCCTGAAAGGTCGAAGAAGGCTCACGGGCTGCAATGTTGGAGGCACTGACCGGATCATCCTTTCCAGTGCCAGAGCCTTGGTCAGCATCATTCTTTCCAGCGGCAGCAGGCACGAAAGCGACTTTGTGGGTGACCCGAAAGTCATAGACGCCAAGCTTGTCTGGAACCAAAGTGGCCTTGTGGTAGCAAACTTCCGCAGAGGGTTTAGTTTCCCTTTGCTTCGCCAAGACCTCGGACACTGTGCTGACCACACCATTCAAAGACACAAGCGACTCAGAAGACATTTCGAAGACCATGGCCTTCTCACTCAACACTTCGTTGTCCTTGACCAACTTGAAGCTCCCCCGACCAAATCCCACCAGTGCGGTGCCAGGCTTCACTGACAGCTCGCTCGGGGTGGAATTCACAACAAAGAGTTGGTGGCCTGTCCGAATCTGGAAACTGAGACTATCCTTGCCCTGCAGTTTTGCTTCAAAAAGGAGTGTCTCTTGCACCTTGTCATTTGCCAGGATGAACTCTGGGCCAACCTCCTCGACCTTGTTCTTCTTGACGGGTGTTGGGTTCTCTGGCTCCTCACCGTCACGCTTGTTCTTGTTTGGAGATGTCTGCGAAGTCTGCTCATTCTCAGCGACACTGTACTTCTCACAGAAGTTGTCCAACCAAGTTCCAAATTCATCCCCAAAATCCGAATCAGTGCGCCATTTCTGAACCAAGGGCTTGGGGATCTGCAGCTTTCGAAACTCACCCTCACCTGAAGTGACCAACAAGTTCAGGATGGGAAACTGGGGCAACGCCTCCAAAAGGTCTGAGGGAATGTCCTTCTGGTAGGCACGCTGGCCGGGGAACTGAAACTGCCCGCCTTTTGCCTTCTCAACAAGGTCATCAACCAAGCTCACCCGCAGCCACTCCAAGTCCTTCGCCTTCTCTACAACGCCGACGTAAAAGATGGAAGTCCCAGGGATGCTGCTCCGCACCTTGCAAAATGCATGGGTGAAGTCTCCAACCCGCGGAAACAAATCTAGCACAATCACTGCAGGCACTTGCTCTAAATCTGGACCAGCAAAAATCTTGCGGATGACTTCCTCAGCGGCTGGAAGGCCAAGTTGGCAATGCTTTGCGGCGCCCGAGATGAAATTTGAGCTGGTGGAAGTTGGCAAAGAGTCAGCCGCCAAATCCTCCATTTCCTTCAAGTCCTTGGCGGGCAGCTGCTTGCAAGGCTCCGTGCGTCCTGCTTTTCGAAGTTCACTCTGGAAAAAGAGGTTGGACTTCTGGAGGTCAACGACGTATCCTGGAAAAGCAAACCTGGCAGGATACAGTAAAGGCCGAGTATCCCTTTGGTCGCACCGCTCGCTGAACAGGAGGCTGAACTGAAAGTCAAGGTTGTGGCCACCTGAGAGCAAGACTTGCATAGCTGCGTGCTCCTCCAAGAAAGTTTTGCCCTTGTTCCACGAGAAGGTTGGGGAGAAGATCACGCCGCATGAGTTGGTGTTGTCATGCAGCGCCCATGCAAGGACATTTGAATGATCCTTTTGTCGGCTGGCTGCCAACAAACAAGGCGCCGTCCAATTCATGAGCACTACGGTTGGCACATCTACTGCCGCAGTGGACTGGGTCCGAAGCTTCTTCAGCATGTCCTGTCTGAAGGCCAAGATCTGTGGGATCAATGAGTCTGCGCCCTTCATGTTCTCCCAGCACGGCAACCGAACGCAGCCATCAACAAACCCCTCCACAGACTCAACCACCTTGGCATGCTCAGCCACAAAATGCTCCTGTCGGGCATGCTGCCGCGCAACGCTGACTGAGGTGCATTTCTGCTGCCAGATTTCATAGACCTTCCTGTCGTAGTCCATCTTCTTGATCACCATCTCGTACTCATCCTTCTTGAGAGCAGATCTCAAAGCCACCTGAAAGCAACACGAAAAACGATAAATATTGACAATGCGTCATTTAGGTGCTTTCCTGACTCCGTACATTTTTAAAAAAATATAGGGAGTCAGGAAAGGCAAGAACCTTGAGAGAACCAATCTTTAAAAGTAAACCCTCAACAAAGGAAAAGCTTTGAAGACCATAGTTATTTCAAAAGACAGCGACCCCTTTTCTATGATTCTTGGAAATGATTGGGCGCTTGCCTCCTGAGTTGATGACACCGGCGCTTTGAAGATATTGTCTTCCAGCAAGGCTTTGAAGCATGGCATTGACTGGCCAACCTGGAACCCCTCATTCTTCTCAAGCAAAGCCGCAGTGAGCTCACAATCAATGCGCTCGCAGCCGCGCGCCCACTCTTCCAAGACTTTCTCCCGGACCACCTCAATGCTGACCGGGTGCTCTGAGCAGAACTCAGCTGCCAGACTTGTCAAGGCTGCAGCCTTCTCAGCCACAGCCTCCATCGCACCTGAGTCGTCCTTCTTGCTCGGCATGTTGGGCACTGGGTGCTCCTTGGTGAAATGAACGCGGGAAGTCATAAGCCTCAAAGAATCATCAGTGACCCGCACACGACACATCCATTTCTTGGTTTTGGCTGGGAACTGGTGGCCAGTGAACAACCGTTTTGAGGACAAGTTCTCCTCTGTCCACGCGGAGTCAGGCCAGCCCAAATTGTTGACGTGCGTGAGGATTGCGTCCAAGACGTCCTGCACAAATAGGAACTCCCCCCACCTCGCTTTGTTTGTTCATTTTTGTTCCTTTTACATGAACCTAAAGCTGGCTTTGTGGGTTTGAATCTTTCGCCAAAATCTGTTCTTAAAAGAAAGCAGTCCTTAGGGGCTGATTCGAAAAGGAGCTTGAGGGCAGCGGCTTTCCTTCCTCGAATCTGGTGGGACTGCACGGTTTGGCTGTTGAATCGCCGGACAAAGGAAGGGTAGTCAGTTCCCCCTTCAGCCATCAGCCTCTTGATCATCGAAGCCATTTGCACCACATTGCATGCTTTCCGCAGGCTTCCACGCATGCTAAGTTTCATGTTGCAAAGGACTTCGTCTTCCTTCGTGCTTTGCCGCAAGTGATGAACCCAAATCACAGAAAGAGAGTCATAGAGCTGGGGCCACTGGGACCTGAAGTCGAAGGACTCCTCGTGGGAATAGATCAAGCCAAGCAGCGCCAAGATGGAGGTCATGCGGGCTCTTCCCTTGATGTATCCAACTGTGAATGGTTTCAAGCATTGATCTGCAGAGGTGTCATCAGAACCTTGCCAAGGCGCCTCCAACACACTTGTCTGAAGGCCAAGAGGCTGAGCTATGAGAATGGGTTCTCCACTGGTGACAAAGCCATCTTTGCAAAACCAATCCATCAGCTGCAAAGCAAGGTCTCGCCCAGGGGGTGGCTTGACGCCACATCCATCCTCCCAACCAAATGCAGCAATGTGCAAAGCGAGTGGTGGCGTTTGTGCCATTTGCTGCTCTTGCACGTGGGGAATCTCTGACTTGTGGTGGTAGCAAATGTCCGAGCGCTCAGGGAACAACCACTTCGAAAAAGATGTCTTCTCCACATCGCTCGGAAACAGCTTGGTCAGGTACACCGCTGGTCCACCTGGCTGCCCATCCAATGCCTCCTTCATCATGTCAACCCACTTCTGATTGGGTTCCAAGGGCGCGTGCGCAAGCATCTCCACATCCTCTCCGCCTGCCGCAGTATCAAGCAGAGCGTCCGCCATAGGGAGGTGTCAAACCCCAACTGAAACACGCGCTCTCCAAATGAGCTGCGAGCGACAATCCGTTTGCTAGCTGACTTTTCCACGAATGAATTAGAGTCGCTAAGGCTAGCCAAAAACAGCGCCCTTAGTCTGGTCGCTAGCACCCAACAGGGGTGCTTACTATGAAAAACAAACCTTTTTCTATTATAATCAAGTTGACAGAAAGCTTGGCTTAACAGAATTGTGAATGCAAAGACTGCAAGGTTGGCCATACTGCGACAAAAAATGTCTCGCCCTTTTCAAAACTCTCCAAGCACGTGGCGAAGAGCGTGGGCAGCATTGTAAAAGGGAGCTTTGAGCCCACCCCGTTTACCACGGCGCCTTTTTGGCTGAGCCTTGGGAGCGGATTGAGACGCAGATGGAGCAGCAGGTCGGCCTGCCCTAGGTGGAATTACCTGTGGACCAGTAGTAGGTCCGGCTTCACTCTTCAGCACTGAGTCGTCCGGCTTGCTCCCAACAGCGCTTGACATTGATCCATCTTTGGAATTCAGCTGCGCGCCAGTAGGGCCAGTTGGCTCTCCAGATCCATCTGCCTTGTCTAAGAGGTGACCATCATCATCAGTAGGCTCAGTGCCACTGCTCTCCAGCTTCACAGTCTTTGCTCGTTTTCGTTCCTTCTCTAGCTTGTCCACGATGTAAAGGGTTTGCTTCGCAGCCCACCTGCGCAAAAAGAAACCCGAAGGCTGGCCATCATCACCACCAGACTCATCACCACCAGACTCCATGGCCGCGCAGCGCTTTCAAAATGAGGCGGTAGAGAGGGGACAGGCTGTGACCCGCTGCGTTCGACTCTGAAGCTTTAAAAATGACTCTGAAACTTGCGCAAAAGAAGTCGTGGGAAACGCGTTATACTATGCTTGGCGAGCACACCTGCAGTGAGCTAGAGCTACAAAGAAACCTGCGGCAAGCTGAAAAGTGGCCAGCAAGCAATGGTGACCCCTGAAACCTACAAGCTCCCAGCGAGTGGTCGCTAGCGCCCACTCTATGTGGTCGCTTCTATTATTTACTATATTGTACAGTAGCCCTGTGAACTCTGACCTGAATCTCACACAGTCTAGATCCCAGACATTCCATGGAAACTGTGTGAAGATCCACTCGTATGATGGATCTTTGGTAAATCGAGTCGACAAAAAAACAAGCTGACTTCAGAGGGGTTGCCTGCACGGGTGGGTTTTCACATGGATTCCATGGAATCCCTGGGATCTCAACATCTCCGACTAACAAAACAAAATCACATGATTTCCACGGTTTTCACGTGATATTTAACGTTGCCTGTTTTTTTAACATACAATTTCTTGAGTCAAAAAACTGTTCTTCATAGTCAAGATTGAAACAGTAACAGAACGCTGCCCGTTTTTCTGGCAGACCTTTAGGTGATTTTTTTTTGGGAAGGCCAGCCTTCTGACCTTCTCTGCGAGAAAACAGGCGCAGTATAGTTGTTCACTGTCTTTGTTTCTGCCTTCCCCTGTCAAAAAAATACATTGTCACAGTGCGTTTGTTTTCGCTGCCCTTAAACATCACTGTGCGCAGCTGAAAGCTAAAGCTGCTACAAAAATTCACTGCCCCCACGCTGCCTCAACGTAGGTCATGGGAAGCGCTGGCCTCAAACTGCACCATCTGAAGGATCTGCAGCAAGCCTTGCGCGACCCTCTCGCGCTCTCCACTTGCGAGTGTTCAGCTGGCCAATTCGAGGGCGCACCCTCCAAGACGTGTCCGCCCCCATAAAGCGCCACACTCCACAAGTCTTCTTCCAACCGCCCTCCGCCAAGGCACTGGCAAGAAAAACATCCCAGCTGTCGGGCTTCACGCTCTCATGCCTTTGCTTGCCAAAAAAATGTTTCCCAAAAATGTTTTCGCAAAAATCTTTCCACACAAGTAACTTCGCAAAGTTGCTTCCCAGTCTCTGGGTTGAAAGTCTTGTAGGACGTGGTGTCATCTTTGTACTCGCGGTATTCAAGGGCGCAGTCAGCGACAAAATCCTGGTAAGTTTGCCCTTCCTGGTTCTTCTCAGAGCCATCTAGTTCTGAGTCTGCCAGGGAGGCAGGGCGCTTCGCCACATGTTGTTTCACATGCCGGGCAGGGCGCTTCATGACTGCAGCTGCAGGCTTTGGCATATCAAAAGCTCTAGCCTGGCAACAAAGAAACTGCACTTGAGAAGGCTTGTCTCGAAAAAAGGGCTCCAAAAACCAATATCGCAACACCGAAAAAATGTCTGACTCGATCTGAAAAGCAATCGCAAACAAAGCGGTTTCCCGTCCCTCAATCGGACATGTTCTTTTCTTTGTTCTTGCTCGATTGCCGCCTGTTTGCGCGTGCAAGCGGAAAATTTGGTCCAGAATTCAACGATTCGCCGATTGATGTTTCAATCGATATCTGGGATCTTGGCTTTGCACACATTGCCTTCAGCGTCGAAAAAAAACCCTTAACACCGCGAGTGGCAAAATCGCGGCAACGTCCACAGCCCTTCTTCTTGGAAGCGCTCACTCTGCACTTGCTGCACCCATAATGCTCAACATCAGGCACCTGACACAAAATAATCCTGCTACAGTTGCAGGCTTTAAAATTTGCACGGCGCCCAACCATTGAGCGCGAGATGGGTGAGAACACCCTAAATAATAACGCGCTTAGCGCCTCCTAAGAGTCGCTGCCTATGTTTTTTAATTTAAGATGCCTTTAGTAGCCTAGCCACCAAAAACCAGCGCAGGGGGAGGAAAACACGCAAAGATCACGCATTAGCGCCCCCAAAAAGGAGCCGCTGCCTAGCCTGACTTTCTATTAACTATACGTTTAGTAATAGCCCCTCAAAAAAAGCGCACACTGGGCAAGAACGCCCAGAGAACACGCTTAGCGCCTCTTAAAGAGAGTCGCTGCCTAGTTTCTGTGATACTTTGGTTCGTTTGTACTCCATCTAATTACACAGCGAATACGCCGAGCCAAGCTCTATGTATTGCGGGTGGAATTAGGCCCATTAAGGGGACAGACAAAATGTGACAATCACAAAACATTGCACGAGGCACTTGATCGTCAGCAGGCGGATGATCAGCCTCACGAGCGGCTGGGCCTTCAACACCTGCTTCACCCTCAGACATCGCTTCGCCCGCAGCAGGTCGCCTCAAAACTCCAGCCGCAGCAGCAGGCCGCTTGTAGGGCGTGGGGTCCTCAGCAGCGCGCTCAACAGCAGCTGCAGGTCTCTTCTTTGGCGCTGCCTTGGCTTTGCCCTTGCCTACTTTGATTTCACGCGGCTTTGGATCTTCTATGAACAAGTCTTCGAAATCCGGGAGCAAGCAATGATCCTGGAACTGGCCATCCTCGTGGACCATTGCAAGCAAAGGAGGCTGCTTCTCAGTCATGGCCTGGTTCTCATCACACAAATCTTCCAACCATTTCTGAGCCTCAAAAAGCCTCCAAGGATCCGCAGCAACGGCCTTGGCCGCCTTGCGGTAGTCAATCAAGACCTCCTCGCTCCACTTCCTGCGTTCACTGACCTGCAAATCATCCTGTTTCAACTTCTTGTGTAGATGCGCAGGTAGCATGAGCTGAGGAGATTGCGATGGGCTTGCTGAACTGATATACCTGGGGTGACATGACACGGTGAAGAACGAGGTTAATGCAAAATCAGCTGCTTAAAAATTAGAAACTTCAAAGTACAGTGCATCCAGCATACTGTTTCACCACAAGAACCACATCGTTTGGATCCTCAGGCAGATCGCTCCAGGCAGAATTGTGGCAAACAACTGTAGCATGAGGTTCCAAATTCTTTCGCAACATCATCCTCCAACAGTGGTTCGTGTCCGGCTCCAAATGCGTAGCGGTCAATCCTTTCATAGACAACTGAAAGGAGGCGAACCAGGACTGGAAGTCCCACGTCGCGCTCAAAACTTCGACGCACAACTGGGAGCCCAAGACTGGCTCCAAGTGACTTGAAAGCCAATTGGAAAATTGGCTTGGGCTCTCAAGTGTACTTGCTTGTCTCAAAGTGGTGGCAACAGAGCTGAATCGCTGGTCCAACTCATTCTTCGTGTGGCCTGTGAGCATAAACTGAAATTCCACGCTGTCAAAGTGACCCTTGCTGATCAGATAGGCGCCGAAGGTGGCGAGGTGCATGTTCTTGTTCTCACGGCTGCAATTGTCTGCAGCGATGATCAGGTGGCGCGGCAAGCCGTAACCTGCACCCTTGAGCTCAAGTGCGCGTCGGCCTTTGTCAAGGCAGTGAGCGAGGCACGTTGCTACCATGTTGCTGTCCTTCTTGGTGTCGGCTTCCAACAAGTAAAACGTTTCAACCACCCCGATCAGGACGCATCCTGTCATGTGCAGAGGAGGCCGCGACAGATTCGCGAAAGTGGCGGAGGCTCGAAGGTTGCGAGGACAGCGAAACTTCGCTTGATCCATTCCGTCGATCAGCATCTTGCATACTCGTCCAGCAGCTTGGTTTTCCTCATACGTAGCGGCTTCCTTGCTCATCCGATTGCCACGCACGTTGACAGACCGATCTGCTGCTGTCCTTGCCAAGTGGTGTTGTTTCCTCAAGTCAATTTCTTCACGCTCTTTCTTTGTCACACATTGGCTCCGTTCTTGGTCCAATTCTGCGCAAAGATTACACCTCACTCCTTGCCCTTCTCCTTTAAAGATCAAAATCTTTTTCCAGTGGCGCTGGAACGCCTTGGTAAAGGTGTCCCGAGAAAGCTTTCCTGCATCTCCTGCTTTCTGGTTCTCATACACGTGCCAGAGGGACGCTAAGTTCTCCTGGTTGAGAAACCTTTTGGGGACCACATTCTGATCTGGAGACACCCCCACAGACAAGGCGTAGAGAGGATGGTTCACATCATCAATGACTTCGTGCTGACCACCCTGGTCTGGCAATTCTTCTACATGATCTTTCCCATCCTCAAGCGGTGTCGGCTCAGCAGTGCCCTGGTAGAGGGAGAGGAAAAAGAGGTCAGCTTCGTCCATCCGAGGCTTCTCTCTTGGAAGCCTTGGTCCACGTTCAGGCACGCATGCATGGCCTGCCTTTGCTAACTTCACCATGTCATCAATAGCCTTGTGCCCCACTGCATGGTAATGCTCCCAAAATGGTCTGCACACCTTCGTGGCCCCAATGCACCAAGGAATTTTTGCTGTGGAACTCGCAAGGTCGTCGACAAATTTCTTGACCATGTGAAAGACTTGTTGTTGGCGGCCTGACTGATCTTTCAGCGCTTCCAGTCGGTGCTGCTCGACTGTTTCCTTTGGAAACTTCGAAAAACACCGAAGCTTGCAAGTGCAGTGTTTCTGTCCAGCACTGCACCCTTCAGACGATTCAACATCTGAAGGCAAGCAGACGCTTGCATCACTGCCATGGCGTTCACATTCAGACGCCACATCTGAAGGCAAACTTGGCGGGTCTTCAGACCCCGGCATTGCAGCAGCTCTAAGTACTCGTGCAAAACCTGGTCCATTAAATTTTACTGCTTTGACAGGCGCGCTAAGTTGAGCTCAGCTTGGCGTGAGTGGTGCGACTGGGCCTGCGTGCTGACTTACACTGCCTGATTGAAAGCCATGAGCCGACAAAAACAGCGGTTGAAGTTGAATGTGAACTGGCACTGCTTAGGGCCACTGACATCCAGCCAATCACAAAAAAATTGCACTATGCGACGAACCCTTCTTTTAACATCGAAGCCAGATCTCCTAAACTAACACGACTCAGCCACGCCTCGTCCACTTGTCAGGCTTTTCCTGCATCAGCCCGACAATCATCAGGCGGGCGTCCGCAAAAAGGTTCTCGCAAGCAGCTGTGGTCTTTTCCAAGACCGGGTCACAAGCCCAAAGATCACGATGGGAGGTGAGAGCGGCGCATGCTTGGCACAAATCCTCGTAGAAGACTTGCAACCTCCCAGGAGTATAGCCCTGCTCTTCCAGTAAGGATTCACAGCTCTGTAGAGGCCCACACGGATATTGGGCTATGCCGGTTGGAGGAATGACACCTGAACCATCGTGGCACAGATACTCACGCACCACAGCTCCAAAAATCTGCCATCGACGAAGCTCCAGTTTGCTCTGGTGGCATTGCACAAGTTTGGAAAGCTGATAGCAGCATTCCTTGATGTTTTCGATCTGGTGGTCTCCAAATTGAACTTGTTCCTCGCGCGTCCACAGCTGGAGAGGCTGAGCAAAGTTGGGAACCAGCGTCCTCTGCTGGGGGTAGATCCAAGCTTGGTAAACGGCCATCATGAGAAAAGGTCTGCAAACCTAGGCTAAAGTTAAATTGCCTCACACCTGACAGCTGCGGCAGCAAGCTCCAGGCGAACGCGGCTGCCAACAAGCAAACAGACAATGAGAATCTGAATCTGAATAGTAAAAACAATATTAATATAGTACCAATCCAGCGCAAAAATGATAGGCGCTCTACCCCCCATGCCCCACCCCCGTAGTACAAGCGCTATGCGCTCAGCGCCAGCAAATCTGCAACTCTAACTATGTAATGGCGCTTCTTAGGGGAAGGCACAACAACGCCTAGCAAAGGCTGCTAAATAACACGCCATGTCTGAGTTTGTCTAGTCTTGTTTGGTCCGTTTGATGTTTGTCGTGCGTTTATATATCTTAATTAATGTAAATGCATGTCTGTGTATAATATGTGTATACATATATATATATTATATGAGTCAGGCCATCCTATAGCGCTTTCACTGGAACAACAACAAGATTTCATCCGGTCCAGCAGCAGAAAGCAATGAAGTTCCACATGAAGGCTAAAGGAGAATATCGCAAGAACCTTGCATCAGTGATACAGGCCATGGCACAAAATCAGAATATGTCTGACACCTACTTTCAAAAAGTGCACACCTACTTTAAAGAAAATTTCCTTAAATTTGCAAGATCACACAATGAAACCCACGCTTTGTCGGACGATCGAGTTATTGATACTGCGACTCGGCAAACACGCCAGTGTCACCTTGAAGACCATGTCGTTGCCGTCGATGAAGATGAAGTCCGGCCAGAAATGTCCGACCCAGCCCAACCCAGTCCGACCCAACCCAACCCAGCCCGACCAAAGGATCCAAGGTTTACTATTACTGTAACTACTTAGAGAAACTCCTAGTGTTGGACCAATGACTGCACCTGCACCGACATTTTACACTGGTTCAAAAAAGCAAATCATACCAAGTGGACAAATCACAATCAACAGCTTTGGCAAGCAGTCATCCTTTCAGTCATACCAATAATAAATGGGTGCCCTTTGAGTGGGCTGGTCATTTCTGGAGATATCATCTTACAAGGTTTGAAGCACTTTGCATGCAGTTGGAACACACAAAACACATGGCGCACTATTGAAAGCAACAATGGAGGAAAGCCAGCAGGTAGCAGCTGTGTTCCAATTGAATTGTTACACTACCCCAAGTGTCACACTCTGTATTAGTGGCTTGATACCCACCATCTCAATTGTATTTATAAAACTAATTAGGGATTTGTTTTGATTGTTTGGTTCACCAACTCAAGCCAACAGCTCTTTTCCCAGCTTTGTAGAACGTTGATATCAAATCTCAAGACACTTGGACTTCCAACTTAATGGCTAGTTTATGGGAAAAATCAACTCCCACCACTTTAAGGATTTCTCTGGGCCTGCAAATCATACTACCCAAAATGAAACCCTTAGATTGAGACCAGGATAGAAACACCGCTGGCACATCCAATTGCAGCACTAAGTATACTCAACTGAGTTGAGGTATGGAATCAACAACTGAAAAGTACATCACAACCCGGGTGATTATTGTTCATTGAAATACTGTTTTTGACAAGTTCTTGACAAACAAGGTTTATCATATACTTTTATCTGAGTGAAACCATTTTTTTACATACTGACATATACAGCAAAATGATGTTGATCAAAATCATGTAGAATTCCTACCTCTTCCCTGCTCCTACCTCTTCCCTGCTAATCGTCCCGTCTGATATATAATCTTAGAGCCCAAGGGGTGTCCAACCACCGGGCTTGGTTTCGGTCCTGGTTCCTGGGTGCTGGCTTTTTCATGGATCTGCTTCTGGCTATCCCTGTTGGGTCATCTACCTGTAACCCGCCAAACCTCCCGCCAAACCATGCTTTTGGATGGTTTCGGTTGACATCAGTTGCCATCCTATGACTTATGTGCCATCAAAGTCCTACTTCAGTGCGGGTCAGAGGCAGCTGCCGATGGTTCAAAGTGGGAAAAACGCGGGTCAACCAGGGGGTCGTGTCATGACCCGCCATGTGACCATGGCACCTATGGCACCTCTGGCGCCCGACGACTGGTCCCATGGGCGGACTTCGGGTTCACGACCGACACCAGGTAGGTCAGCCAAGATAGCACGTCACATCGGGGGGTGCGTGCAGTGTTTTGGGAGACTTACGTCCGCGAGTCTGACCGCCGAGTCGCGGAACACCCGACCTAACTGGTGCAATTTACAGCAACCTCTGGGAATCCCAAGCCCAGTCCCAGTGGCGTCCACCTGGGAACGGCCGCTCGCGGCCCGCCGCGCGCTCGCGCGGCCAGGAGGTCCGAGAATGGCGGGTTCACGGGAATCACCGGAGGATGGGGAGATTGCGATGTATGAAATTGTCAACAACTACAATCCAAAACAATCAACATTAATCAACATTATGACCTTAGGAGATCATACCAGGACCCCCTGTTGGCTTAGCCCCTGGGGTGTCCATGAACCACCTGTTGTGGGTCCTGGTATATGTCTGTCGCGTGTTTGTCTGTGTTTTTCTGGATGTTTATTTTCTCGAAACATGGGTTCACAGATTTGAGCATCAAAACCCAATGTTGGTTTCGTGTGTCTCTCCTCTCCATGGCATCTGACTAACATCAACCGACCAATAGGGCTTTCGATGACATCTGGCAACACCCGAGCCGCGAGCCGCTGATGTTTTTCACGGCCCCACTACAACTTGTATGCAGATCGATCGACCTCTTGAATGATTTTCATGGTTCCCAGGTTCTTGGATTGAAACACAAGCAAACCCCCTTTGTGGTGACCAGCAAAGAGGTAATGAAAGTCAATCCCCATCCAAACAAGTGAACACCACTTGCACCTGGACCTTTAAAGGAACACACACAAATACAAACAAACACCTTTTCACTTTGCTCTAAACAATCACAGAATTTTTCCGGGCACGACCAAGACAGGTGTGATGACAGGGTGATGAAGCGCTCCACACCTTGTTGACCAATCGCTCCACGTCCTTCTTCAAGTCCTCGCTCGGGAGTGATGTGTGACAGTATACCGCTCCGCGTCGTACCGCTCCGCGTCGTCCAAGTCCGACGCGTGAGCGGTAATTGACGGTTCTGGATGGGAAAAGAGATGTTAATTTGTGGCTCCAAAACAGGGGCATGGTATATATATAGTAAAGAATGGTTCTAGGATGTTCCAGGAACATAGAGCGATTG